AAAAAGCAAGAATTTGCTCAGAACACTGGTCTGCTGGCAAGAGAGAACATATCGATGATATTCCTAATGTCATTTGCACAAAACGATATCTAGAAAAGATGGAAAAGTCGAAATTTACAAAAAACAAAGCTAAAAAAGTAACTGCTGCTAAACAAGCCTTGCATGATGAGAATAAAAGACCTAAAAAGAAGAGACGTATCTTACAATACAGCAGACAGTCGAAGGACGATGACGGTGGTGTTGACATGACACAACTTCGTGAAGAGCTGAAGAAGAAAAACAAAGAAATTGAAAAGCTACAGGCCCAAGTTGAAAATTTACTGCAAGAGCAGAAATCGCAAGAAAAGAACTTCGACATACTTTTTTCTGGATTGAAGAGAGGGCAATTTTCGTATGGAAATTTAAAAGAACAACCAAGTAAAGTTTTTGATTTAAGTGGTTTCTCTATAGAAGAGTTTGATTGCCTTTATCACTGTGTTCAGCCTTTTGTCCATCTTATATGTTATCCAGATTGTAAAACTGATGGACTACTCACCAATAACAGAAAACTTGACTTAAAAACTGAACTGATGACATTTTTTACTGTGAGCAGACACTCACTTCACTTGAGTGTGATGGCATGGATGGTACAAGGTAGTGAGGCAACCATTTCAAGGTGCTTTTGTGGATGGGCCGTGTTTTTGTCTACTTTATTCGACTGTCTTGACCTTCGCCCTTTACCCGGATTTGTGCAAGCATTCCTCCCAAAAGTGTTTGAGGATGCAGGCTTTGCTGAGACAGAGGTGCTTGGTGATGCTACCGAATCATGGATTGCACAATCTGAAAACTTTGAGGTGAATAACATTACATTTAGCAACTACAAGAACCATACCACGGGAAAAACACCTGTATGGATCTACCCCCATGGTGGATTACTGTGTTGCAGTGACACATACCCAGGAACTATATCTGACAAAGACATTACTGAACAATGTGGGGTCCTCGATAATGTAAACAAAGGAAAGGTGGTGTTGACTGATAAGGGCTTCGCAGAGGTTTGTCTCAAAAAAGGTGTATTGCACAACAGGCCACCAATGAAATTTAGTGACCAATATAACCAGTCAGAAATTAGTGTTAACTTTGACATTGCAACGTTAAGAGTATATAATGAGAATTACATAGGACGGATGAGGGATTGGACTATATTGAACAGCTGCTGGCCTATGACAAGAATTGATCTGCTTGGTCACTGTTTCAAAGTCTTTGCTCATGTTGTTAATATCTTGAAAACACCAGTTGGTCCAAAGGAATCAAGTTAAATCAGTTAATACATTGGACACGGCTGCTAGCTTCTGACTACAAGTTTTTATTCCACAGACAAATGAGAACCACTCTATCATATTTTTGTATTAGTCAATGATTTTTGTATTGTTGTCTGAGCTTTCTTTTATAGTGAAAATCCAACTGCCGCAGGCAGCAGTCAAGATATTTCTTGAATGCTTATCAACCAATCAGAGACAGCATACCAATGACTCTAACTGCAAAATAACAGCTTCTCACTTCTGATTGGTTGAGAAATATTCAAGAAATATTTTGATTGCATGTAATAGTTGATGATAATCACCAAGTACCCGATATACAAGTTGAGGTTGGTTTGTGAATAACAACACAAATAATAATACCGGCCTGCATATACTGGAGTACAAAATAGTGGATAGCATTGTATATACATGTATGTTGTTAGTACTTGTACTCGATCTAAGATCAAGTAGCAAAAACTACTTAATGTTTTTTTTCATAGCATTTATCCAGGACCTCAAGGATTTAGTGTTTTCAAATGTAGGGATGGTATCTTTGAGTTTTTCACCAAGTTTAGTGAGGTACTTGCTTTCCTCATGTGGCCAYTCTGTGATTTCCTTATTTTCAAGAATTTTGTCAGTAACTGTMTTGCAAATTTCAATAAGAAGATTATTCTTTTCAATGAGAAAAATGTTTGCACAGTTTTGTTCTGGATGGTAAGACTGTAAGAAAGTTATCCTCGCTCCAGTACATTCCATCTGGAAATTGCATTGAATGATATGTGAGGCTGTTACACTTGTAAGGGGTGTGGTACTTTCTGATGCTCGTGTCTTCACCTCAACTAGAAATGTCTGTCCAAGTCCATCTGGACTAGCCCCATACCTTGGATCAGTTGGGTGATGGAAGTAGCCACTTTTTGAAATGGCAACTCCTGTAATATAAAAGATTAGAAAATGATATAGAAATACAAAATTTAAAAAACACATTAGTCTTGTTTAGATGTAATTCTTCTCTTTTTTAGCTGACAAGTAGACAAATACTATATTAAATTAGAT